GCTGTGAGATGGAATTACACCACACAGAATATCATTCTGTGTGGTGTAATACCATGTCACAGCACATCTTTCTGTGTGGTGTAATACCATGTCACAGCAGATCTTTCTGTGTGGTGTAATACCATGTCATAGCATATCTTTCTGTGTGGTGTAATACCATGTCACAGTATATCTTCACAGCATATCTTTCTGTGTGTTGTAATACCATGTCACAACATATCTTTCTGTGTGGTATCATACAGGGCAGCATGTCACAACATATCTTTCTGTGTGGTATCATACAGGGCAGCATGTCACAGCATATCTTCCTGTGTGGTATAATACAGGGCAGCATGTCGCAGCATATCTTTCTGTGTGGTGTAATACAGGGCATCATGTCACAGCATATCTTTCTGTGTGGTATAGTACAGGGCAGCATGTCACAGCATATCTTTATGTGTGGTGTAATACCATGTGATATCATATCTTTCTGTGTGGTGTAATACCATGTTAATACCATGTCACAGCATATCTTTCTGTATGGTGTAATACAGGGCAGCATGTCACAGCATATCTTCCTGTGTGGTATAATACAGGGCAGCATGTCGCAGCATATCTTTCTGTGTGGTATAATACATGGCAGCATGTCACAGCATATCTTTCTGTGTCGTATAATACAGGGCAGCATGTCGCAGCATATCTTTCTGTGTGGTATAATACATGGCAGCATGTCACAGCATATCTTTCTGTGTCGTATAATACAGGGCAGCATGTCGCAGCATATCTTTCTGTGTGGTGTAATACAAGGCAGCATGTCACAGCATATCTTTCTGTGTGCTTTCTGTGTGGTGTAATACCATGTCACAGCAGATCTTTCTGTGTGGTGTAATACCATGTCACAGTATATCTTTTTGTGTGGTGGAATACCATGTCACAGCACATCTTTCTGTGTGGTGTAATACCATGTCACTCACAGCATATCTTTCTGTGTGTTGTAATACCATGTCACAACATATCTTTCTGTGTGGTATCATACAGGGCAGCATGTCACAGCATATCCTTCTGTGTGGTATAATACAGGGCAGCATGCCACAGCATATCTTTCTGTGTGGTATAATACAGGGAAGCATGTCACAGCATAGCTTTCTGTGTGATGAAATACCATGTCACAGCATATCTTTCTGTGTGGTGTAATACCATGTCACAGCATATCTTTCTGTGTGGTGCAATACCATGTCACAGCATATCTTTCTGTGTGGCGTAATACCATGTCACAGCATATCTTTCTGTGTTGTGTAATTCCATGTCACAGCATATCTTTCTGTGTGGTATAATACAGGGCAGCATGTCACAGCATATCTTTATGTGTGGGGTAATACCATGTCACACCATATCTTTCTGTGTGGTGTAATACCATGTCATAGCATATCTTTCTGTGTGGTGTAATACCATGTCACAGCATACCTTTCTGTGTGGTATAATACAGGGCAGCATGTTACAGCATATCTTTCTGTGTGGTGTAATACAGGGCAGCATGTCTTAGCATATCTTTCTGTGTGGTGTAATACCATGTCACAGCATATCTTTTTGTGTGGTGGAATACCATGTCACAGCACATCTTTCTGTGTGGTGTAATACCATGTCACAGCATATCTTTCTGTGTCGTGTAATACCATGTCACAGCTTATCTTTCTGTGTGGTGTAATACAGGGCAGCATGTCACAGCATATCTTTCTGTGTGGTGTAATACCATGTCACATCATATCTTTCTGTGTGTTGTAATACCATGTCACAGCATATATTTCTGTGTGGTGTAATAACTAATGTTCATTCATCTTCATGCACAGGGCAGCATGATACAACATGAATCGAACTAAGTGGAAAACACAACGGATTGTTATTCAAATTCGCCTTTTACATGTTAAACACTGTATAATGAAAACAGATATACCTCATTAAAAGGATGATAACAATGACGAGGACGACGATGAAGGCTATAATGAGTAACCCAGCACCTCCAGCAAAATATATCCACATATCTAAAGTGAAGATACAGAAACAAAAATATCAGGATATCACAGTACACATAACGTTTACGAATAGCTAATTAGTGTCTAGAAAATCCCTATCGCTGGGTTAAACCTAAATATTTCTAGGTAAATATTTCTTTGTCGTGGCCAAGGATATTTTTTCTTTGTTGTTGTATTAATTATCTTATTCTTTGATTTTGAAACATAACTGATTTTACCGGGAGGAAAACATAAGACGGGACCCTGTATTTTTTACAAGATATTATTATTATCGCCACAACGTTACCGTGTTAAATATCATTTAAGTTTAGTATAATTTCTACAACATCCTATATCACATATTTACAATTCTGTAACGCTTATATGGGTTTCAAAGGACATAGAGCCTGGCAGAATTGTTAAGTGCCACGGTAAAAAGCTTAGGAACACTCGTTCACCTAACTCAATTTGTTTTTATGTATTTCCCTGTCTATTAACAAGCATTGAACTTCTTCCTGTTGTCATTCACTTCACCTAAACGCTTTTGAATGCTATTTTTACATTTAGAAATATTTTAGACTGTCATAAGATTTTTATCTGTTATCAGAATTTAGCGTTAATTTTAGATAAATGTATGTGTTATTTTTGATTGATTTATGAATGGAACAGCCGACTCATCAAGAGTCAGAAGTATCCTATGTTACAATCATAACGTCAGAATATTGATGACTTCAATAACCTTTTGTTTTGGTTTTATTTTGTTTAACGTCCTATTAACAGCTAAGGTCATTAACGGACGTGATTCAATGTGTGTTTTGTAAGCGTGCGTTTTTGTATGTGTACATGTGCTGGAAACATGGGACTGTTGGTTAACTTGCCTCCTTTTGATAGCGCGGCACCCAGCACAGCATTCTGCACGGTCACATAATACTGACACAGGTGAACCAGTAGTTGCCAATACCCTTAAAGCTGAACGGTAAGCAGGGAACAAATACTATCATTTTTATAGACTTTGGTGCATGTATGTCCCTGTCTGGGGACGGAACCCACTGCCTTCCTCACGTTGGCGAACGCTCAACATTAAAATGGAAGCTGATGATAAGGAACGGGAACGTCAAAGGGCGGTGGAACTTGAAAGAGGAAAGTTGAAAATGGAGGCTGAAGAGAAAGAACGTGACCATCAAAGAAAGCTTAAGGTACTTGAGTTAGAACTTGAAAAGGCGAAGGTTCAAAACGAACTGAGTGACACAAAATCAAACTCTGTGCCATTTAGACTAAAATTACAACCATATAATCTTACAGCAAACGAAGATATTGTGACATTTCTGTCGGAGTTTACTGCCTTGTCATCACAAGCAGGGTGGACAGATGAGGTTAAAATGTTAAATCTGAGAACATTGCTTACAGGAGAGGCTAGGGCTGTAGCCATACAAGCTCATGGATCCTTGGAGGAACTCAGGTAGGCACTGATTGAAAGGTATGGGAAAAGACCCTACCAGTATTTCAAACAACTGCAGTCGGTACAAAAGGAACCACAGGAGACATACAGAGGACTAATGACAAGAATTGAACAATATCTTGTCAGATTTATTGATTCGGCGAGGGATATCACAGAAATATTTAAGGAGGAATACTTTCTGAGCGCATTGCCAGCATCGCAAGCACAATGGATACGCCGTAACAAAGGGTCAAGTAGTGTTGTTGAAGCCGTGGAGGAGTTTATTCTACCAGAGAGGAATTCACCAAAGCCAACGCAAGGTAAAGTTTTTAATGTGCAAACTTCAAACTCTGAGAGAGACCAGAGAAAGGAAAAATCATCGGAACAGATGAAAATGTGCAGTGTTACAACTATAACAAGTATGGACATTTTGCTAGGAAATGCCCTAAAAACAAAGATGGGAAAAATCTTGCAGGATGTTTTGTGCGACAGTACACGGGAGGATTTATCCATGTTCCTGGGGAAGGCAATGGCCGTGATATCTGTTTTGTCAAAGACACTGGCTCAGCCATAACTTTGATTCGGGAGGATTTGGTTGACCCTAGTTGTGTATTGGAGGGTCAGCGGGAGACTCTGTGTACAGCGATCGGACAACCCTTCTCAGCCAAGCTTGCTAGTGTTGATATGGATACGCCATATTACAAGGGACACGCGCAGTGCCTGATCTTGTCACTGAAGCTCTGTTGGGAGTAGACATCATAGAACGGCAATCTAAGTATGTAAATGTTATTACGCGTGCTTAACACCATAATGAAACAGCTGCTGAGAGACTAGCTGAGGTCAAGGCAAAGGAATGTGGTGTAAAAGTTGGATTGGACCTTGATGTGGACATTGAGGAGAATCATGTGGAGTATGGTAGTGAGGTGGATACTAGACAGGTAACTGTGGTTGACAAGGACAATGATGATACTGTGAGTGTGGACACTGACAATAATAGTGAGAATGTATCTAGTCATGACGAGGATGATACCTGTAACGTCACTACTGAGAACGAACCACTAAAACATTCTGAGGTGAATGTTGAAGTGTGAAGTAAGCTTCAACAGGAAGACCCACCTGAGGCACTACGTCTCAATGTTATTAAATTGGGACATGACAGGCCATTAGCAGGTCATTTGGGAGCAGAGAAAACTAAAGAGCGAGTGCTAGCGTCTTTCTACTGGCCAGGCATCTTTAAGGACATACAGAAGTATTGTAGTACATGTGATGTATGTCAGAAGACAGTCAGGAGACGGGGTGATGAGAAAGCTCCTATGGGACACGTGTACAACCACCAATCATCAGGGAGCCATTTCATAAAATCTTAATGGATGTGGTTGGACCATTGTCCCGTACAAAGAAGGAAAACATATTTATTCTTATTATAATGGATGACGCAACGAGATATCCCGAGGCATTTGCGTTGAAAAATGTTGACGCCAAAACTGTTGCTGACACACTGGTAGAACTATTCAGCAGGGTTGGGGTGCCTCGAATTATCCCTTACGGATCAAGGAACGAACTTCACCTCAAAAATGATACAGGAACTGTACCAAGTGCTGGGGATCAAAGGTATAACAACATCGCCTTATCATCCACAAGCTAACGGGAAAGTGGAGAGATTTAATTCAACTCTCAAAGCTGTGTTAAAAAAGCTCTGCACATCAAATGAAGAGGCATGGGATGAACTTTTGCCATATGCATTGTTCGCATATAGGGAGGTACAACACGAGGAGACAGGATTCAATCCATTCGAAATGCTTTATGGTTGGCCAGTAAGGGGACCATTACAAATTTTAGAGCAAACCATGCCACGAAAAGGCGAAGTTAAGAAATCTGCAATTGATCACATTGTTCAAATACGAGAAAGGCTCAAAATGATCACAGATACGGTACGTGAAAACCTGTCCATCAAACGGCAGAAGATAAAACAGTGGTACGACAGGAACGCCACTACACGGGAGCGTAGACCTGGTGACGAAGTTCTGTTATTACTGCCGTCTGACAGTTCGAAAATGGTGGCACAATGGAAAGGACAGTACAGAGTGATAAGGAAAGTCAATGGCGTTAACTATGAGGTTAATGTTGTTGGACGTCGTAAGCGAGTGGTTTACCATATCAATCTGTTGCGTAAATACAACAGAGCTGCTCAACATGTCATGTTTGTCCAGAAACGTGATCTGGATATTGAGATTGGCAAGAATTTGGACAAATCACAACGCCAGGAGGTACGTCAGCTTTGTGAGGACTACAATGACGTCATCAATCCTAACTCTGGTAGGACTTCATTAGTTACACACAGCCTAAGAACAACATGTGAGAAAACCTATCACACAGCAGCCTTATAGAATCCCACAGGCTAAGAAACAGGAAGTGAAAACAATGCTGGATGATATGTTGGAGCGTGGTTACATCACACCATCATCAAGCCCTTACTCATCTCTGATCGTCTTGGTGGACAAGAAAAGCTCAATGACGTGACTATGTGTGATGGGTACCCGAAACCTCGGGTAGATGAGATATTTCAGAAGCTAGGCACAGCAAAATACCTCAGTACCATGGATTAAGCGAAAGGATATTGGCAGATACCTCTATCGCAAGATTGTCAAGAGAAGTCCGCATTCGTGACAGAATTTGGACAATACCAATTCACGGTAATGCCTTGTGGGATGCAAACAGCACCTGCGGCATTCGCAAGGACGATGGACAAAGTATTGGCGAGGGTACAAAATGTCGTCGCCTACTTTAATGACATTGTGGTATATAGTGATACATGGCAAGATCACCTATTACATGTACATGTCCAGGCTGTCCTGGACCGACTTAGAGACAGTGGGCTTACATTTAAACCCTCAAAGTGTCAATTTGGTAAAGAGGAGCTGTACTGTCTAGGGCACATAGTAGGAAAAGGAAAGCTCAGACCTGACAACCGGAAGGTCCAAGCTATGGTGGATTTTCCTCTCCCACAAACGAAAAAAGGGATAAGATCATTCCTTGGTATGACGGGATATTACCGTCGTTTCGTTAACAATTACGCCAGGTTGGCAGCACCTTTGACCGAGATGGTTAAAAGGGATCATCCACGACAACTTCGTTGGACAGATAGAAGCACAGCTGCATTCAATAATCTTATGGACGCAAGTACTCGCGAATCCGGATTTCAGTGAACTGTTCACAATACAGACTGATGCCAGCAATGAAGCCATTGAAGCTGTCCTTAGTCAGGTCATTAACGGCGAGGAACACCCGAATGCTTACATCAGCAGGAAGTTGTTACCACGAGAACAGAACAATTCTACTGTAGAGAAGGAATGTTTAGCCATTGTGTGGAGTGTTGAATCGTTTGCGGGGTAAAAATCACCATTCAAACTGACCACAACCCGTTGAAATGGCTGTACAGAACAAAACAAAAGAACCAGAGACTTCTGAGGTGGGCTCCCGCTCTCCAGCAGTTCCATTATACCATCGAGTATCGCAGATGGATTGTCGCGCGTTGAATAGATACTGTGCATATTAGTAAACAAACTGTGAAGTGTAAAATATGATATTTTATGTAGTGCTTGAAATGTACCAGTTATGAAGATTGACCAGTGTTTCTTATAAAAAAAAGATATGTTCTATTTTAACCTAAGCCAACATTGTGGATTTACATGCTAGGAAAATTATTTTCCTTGGGATTATATATTTTGGATTTACCACCACTGAGGAATGTAGCTGGATCAATTGATATGCAAACTATACTGGACATCATTCATAATCAGTGCTTTATCTTAATGGTTAATTAAGCGTTATGCTGCATTTGTGTACATTGTAGATTATCTAGCCCGAGTATCTGGAGCAATATTATCTTTCATTAACCTTTAGACCGTAAAAGTTTTCTTAGGCAGGGGGATGTTAATAGGGAGTTTGACCACCCAAGGTCAAACATGTGGTCAGTGTAAAACTGACCGCCTAAGGTCAGTAGTGCTTCCCAAAACACGGCATCCCACATCAGTCATATTGAGTTACTTGAGTTACGCCTGTGGCCAGATGTGGCTGGACCAATAACAGTATCATATTATGCTGACCATTCCCTTGGCTGCCTTTAATGTTGAATCAGTCCTAGTGTGGCCTTGACAGGAGTAGGAGCTCAGATACTCAGGCCATACTATGTTATGTGTTTCTCTTATAATAATCAACATTTATACTGTATTGAGTTGTTTCGTTGGTTATTCATCGATAGGGCAACATTGAGGGTAACATAGGGAAATCACATTTTGGACGTATTGACTGAAACTTCAAAATTCTTCTCAAGACCGAGATATGGTAGAATCAAATACTCTTCATAGATGGAAGGGTCTTAAGGTGCTTTGCCAAAATTGTGAATTTCATGACTCTGGGGTCTCACGTTTCCCCCTCGGCAGGGGAATAACTTTACTATAGTTTATATAGTGAAATCACATTTTTGACCAACATTTATTTAATTTCCATTGGAATTAATTCAAACTTGGTTAGCATTATCAGTATTGGATAGAAGGTTGATGATATGCACAAATCAGCCCTGACTGACCCCCAGGGGCTGATGGGTGGGGCCAAAAAGGGTCGAATTGACTGAAACTTCAAATATCTTCTTTTCAAGACCCAGATATAGTAAAATCAAATAATCTTCATAGATGGAAGGGTCTTAGGGTGCTTTACTAAAATGGTGAATTTCATGAACCTGGGATCTCACGTTTCCCCCTTGGGAGGGGGTAAACTTTACTATAGTTTAATGGTGAATTATATGGTCCCCAGCCCCCAGGTGCCTGAGGGGCGGGGCCAAAAATTGTCAAATTGACTAAAATTTCAAAAATCTTCTTCTTAAGATCCAAATATGGTAGAATCATATACTTTTCATAGATGGAAGGGTCTTAAGGTGCTTTACCATAATTCAGCTGACTGACAGAACCATTATTTGTACATAGAACATATACTACCCAGATCTTCCACACTACTTTTGCATAACATGTAGTTCAAGTGACCTTTGTTACAAAATGATTTCTTTTTCATTTGGCAACATCGATAACATCAGTTTTTACATAACTCAGGTGACCGTTAAGGCCCATGGGCCTCTTGTTAAGGACTAAGGTATGTCCCGGCCCGGGGACAACCCATTGCCTTCCTCAACTGGGCTAACGCGCAACATTAAGGCCAAAGGGGAGGTGTTGCCAAGCAAGGCGCTAGGAAATAAAAGGTATCTAGAAGTAAAAAGAAAGATAAAGATCCCAACTATTGCAATTGGTACAGCACATTTATTTTGGTCACTTTTGTGTCCCCAAATAGAGGACATCAAAGCAAATCCCAAATTTTGCAGGGGTTCTCGCACTAGTCGCCTCCTACGATTACAAGCAGTGGGTATTAGCAAGTGTATTTCCCCCCCCGATCCCCTACCTGCATGGGTGGGATAGGTGCCAATTCGGACTTGGACTGGCTATCTACATATCTTATGGTTATACCGCCATGATAAGAATAAGTTAGCCTTTTTTCTAATGCTTAAATGTACTTGAGAAGTAATTCTGCATTATTTAGCCAAACACCTTATTTTGTGCCTGAACACATTCGGACACCATGATAAACTGAAGAATACCTTGCTTATGTTTCCGGCATAGATATGATGCTGTTTTCAAACAATTCATGACTTACAATTTATGATCGAAGACCTGGACATCTCTGATGTTTCGACAGCAGCGGAGCTTCCATTTTTGACCTTAGATCGTGTATTTTCTAATGTTGTAACATTAGGGGTGCTAACATGTGTGACCGTAGACCTGGTTATTTCTGAAGCAATGGCAGTAGATGGCTCCCCGGTATCGACAGTGGTACCATTAGTTGTAGCCATGGTCGTTTGCGCTAAAATAAAATGATACGTTTATCAAACTGTATTGTTGGTTATATTCACAGGTATTAATTTTGCTAACTCCGCAGTCATGAATAATAGCGTGAAATAATATAACTACCGAGAATGATAATTTCCGTGACAATTTTTGAACAGGTGATGTTCTGACCGGGACAACTGCGAAAACTAATTTCCGTGCTTAATTAAACAATCGCATTATTGTTCAAATAACGAGGAAGCGTATATTGCATTGGAATATAAATGGTGGTAGCAGCAACAACAAGTAGGTCCAACACCAGTAAAATGGACATCATTCACATACAACAATGGTACATTAGAATTGGTTAACAAATATTCAGGTGCGAATATGAGCATTCTGGGGACTATCATGTATACGTTTTCTTTGTTGACATAAGCATACAAAGGGGATATGCCCTTTGTATGCTTATGTCAACAAAGAAAACGTATACATTTAGATAAGGAGTTTAATTAAGATCAGCTTAGAGACCATTTGGTAATATAAGAAAGAAAGCAATCTCATGTTGATGACCCTACACATTAATTTTGGACATTTTCTCCATGATTTTGATCTCTTTTTTAGGAATAGGTTAGCCTTTTCTAATGCTTAAATATACTTGAGAAGTAATTCTGCATTAGTTAGCCAAACACCTTATTTTGTTCCTGAAGACACTTTCGGACACCATGATAAACTGAAGAATACCTTGCTTATGTTTCCGGCATAGGTACGATGCTGTTTTCGAACAATTCATGACTTACAATTTATGATCGAAGACCTGGACATCTCTGATGTTTCGACAGCAGCCGAGCTTCCAATTTTATACGCCCGTCAAATTTGACGGGAGTATTATGGTATGGGTTTGTCCGTCCGTCCGTCCGTCCGTCCGGCGTAAACTTTTGTATGTCCGGCAATCTTCTCCTACATTTTTCGACCGATCTCTTTAAAACTTGGTATACATTATAATCATGATATGAAGTTGTGTCTCCCTAAAAAGAATTTTGATTCGGCAATTTTTCCAAAAGTTATTGCCCTTTGTTCATTTCAGTATTTGATTTTTTGTCCGGAGATCTCCTCCTACATTTTGTGACGGATTTCTTTGAAACTTAGTAGGTTAAATAATCATGATATGTTGTTGTGTTTCCTTGACAAGAATTTTGATTCGACAATTTTTCCAAAAGTAATTGCCCTTTGTTCATTTCTGTATTTGATTTTTTGTCCGACAATCCCCTCTTACTTTTTTGACGGATTTCTTTGAAACTTGGTTTACATTATAATCATGATTTGAAGTTGTGTCTCCCTTAACAGAATTTTGATTCGACAATGTTTGCGAAAGTTATTGCCCTTTGTTCATTTCAGTATTTGATTATTTGTACGGAGATTTTTCTCCTACAACTTTTATACCATGTCAGCTAACCACTCTTAGAATGATGCATATCTTATTTTAATGTAAGAAAGTATATAACACTATATGGCATTCGACGGGCGTATATTGCTCCGCCCCGCCGTACTCTTGGTGACCTTAGATCGTGTATTTTCTAATGTTGTAACATTAGGGGTGCTACCATTTGTGACTGTAGACCTGGTTATTTCTGAAGCAATGGCAGTAGATGGCTCCCCGGTATCGACAGTGGTACCATTAATTGTAGCCATGGTCGTTTGCGCTGAAATAAAATGATACGTTTATCAAACTGTATTGTTGGTTATATTCACAGGTATTAATTTTGCTAACTCCGCAGTCATGAATAATAGCGTGAAATAATATAACTACCGAGAATGATAATTTCCGTGACAATTTTTGAACAGGTGATGTTCTGACAGGGACAACTGCGAAAACTAATTTCCGTGCTTAAGTAACAATCGCATTATTGTTCAAATAATGAGTAAGCGTATATTGCTTTGGAATTTAAATGGTGGTAGCAGCAACAACAATTATGTCCAACACCAGTAAAATGGACATCATTCACATACAACAATGGTGCATCAGAATGACTTCACACATATTAAGGTTCGAATATGAGCATTCTGGGGACTATCATGTATACGTTTTCTTTGTTGACATAAGCATACAAAGGGGATATGCCATTTAGATAAGGAAATTTATTAAGGTCAGCTAAGAGACCATTTGGTAATACGAGGAAGAAAGCAACCTCATGTTGATGACACTAAAAGTTAATTTCGATCATTTTCTCCATGATTTTGATCTCATATGTAGGAATAAGTTAGCCTTTTCTAATACTTAAATGTATTTCATGATAAGAAATTATATTTTATTTAGCCAAAACAACTTATTTAGTGCCTGAAGACACATTCGGACACCATGATAAACTGAAGAATACCTTGCTTATGTTTCCGGCATAGATATGATGCTTTTTCCGAACAATTCATTTCAAAGTCATTCCACAGAGGATGATAATGATCTGATGTAAACTGACACAAACAGTTTCTTGCATCTGTTGGTAATTCTGTATATATATAAGTAAT